CTGCAAACACTTTTTAAAATTTTCTATACATTTCCCTGTAAAAATTACTCTTTCTGCCGACTAAAATTTCCCGGGAAAAATTGCGGAAAAATATATGGAAAATCTAAAGCAATCGTCTTGAGAAATTTAAGCACGGTTAACGCCTCCAAAATTTGCTAGTAAAATTTACCAATCAGCGTATCACAACCGTTGTCGGTTTAAAACCGCAACCCTGCCCCGCACAGGTTTTTTCACAACGATCGCGATACGCTGATTGGTAGATTTGGATCGACGCGAATACCTCCTATGCCTTCGGTCGAGAATTTTGCACCGATCAAGTTGAGAAAGGTGGTCTTGCAACTTCAGGATCGCTTTTCTCAAGAAATTTTCGAATGGTTGAGCTCTCACTCGGCGCAGGAATGGAGACATATCTAGTGGATCGGAATCCGCCATTTTCGAGGTAAGAAATTTTAAACTGTTTGGCGTCAGATCCAGATTAAAGTGGACTAGGTCACGCACCAGCGTCTGATTGCTGCCTGCTTTGTCCCCGTCTTTAGTTCTAACCGCCGGGGTCAAATATTCATCTCGCAAAATAGCGCTTAAAACAGCACAGGACGGCGGAAAAACATGAAACATGACTCGGTCAATATTTTGTTCAAACTTTAATTGAAACATTTGCGTTAAAATCTGCATTTTGGAGCAAATTATAGCCACCGTATTGTTCACCTGTATATTTCTGCTATAAAGAACTTAAGATGGATACTCAGATTTCAATCAAAGACGGCCCGACCAACAGAGGATGGTCTGCCTGTATTGGCTCTAAGGAAATGGCTGAAGCATGTCCAGCTGAAAATAGCGAGGGAAAAAATTCCAACTAGATACCGAGGTATGGCCTAAGGATTGCTGTAAATGCAGACTTACGATTTTTAAATCACTTTTTGCCTAAAAAATCGACGACGAATCAAAACGGTGTACTTTTTGGTGATGATTTTCGGCCAAAAACTGGCTTTTTGGACTTTGCTGCCGAACGAACGACGGGATGAAGTGAAAATTAAGAGTTGTAGTTGGTTTGTTTGCTTTCATAATTGCAAAATCAACCATTTAGTGCTATGAAAAACTGACCAAAGGGTTGTTACTAAAGTAAGACAAGAAGCAAATAGTTAACGCATATACAGTATTTTTCCCTCAAATATGCGTTGTTAGGCTTAAAAGGGTTAAAGATTTATTTGATTTTCGTAAAACCTCTAGTAACGGGCATGCTAGTCTGACTGGGTTTGCTGAGAACGTATACCATAAATCCCCCAAAATAGCCAATAAATTAAATGTTAAGACCACCGGCCAAGCTACGGTCACCGTAGCCTTGGTTCCCAGCGCATGTCCTTGGGAGAACTGTCTTGCGTTTCCTAGTCAACAGCTCCCTTATTTGTTGTGTCGAGCTGGCGCTGACAGGAGTGCTTTGAAATCACTTTGGCAGTAATGGGCCTCTGATACACGGTTTTGATCGTTCATAGGTTTTTACGGCTTTTCCATGCCGTTGAGAATTAAAAAGGGTGGAACAGCTGTTCATAGCTACCACTACCCGGGTGATATGGCTGTGATAGTTTACCTAACTGGGACAAGACAATTTTAAATATTTCGGAGTACGGCCAATCATGCCATCATATAAATCATCAATTCACCCTTTCCGCAGAAAAGTAGTTAAAAACTAAAGGCCCACCGCTATTTTTTCTCCCAAAGGATTTTCTGTTCCAAGTACGTGGGCTCCAATGCCACGCCCTGATGTGGAAGTACATACTGTGACGCTCGATCCGGCTTCCTCTGAGTACCAAAATGTCATGAGCAAATTTCAAGCAACCGCTGACAGAGAGCGTATTCGGAAAATCGAGCGAATTCAGAATCCTCATCTTTACAAGCAGTACATGGTGCAAAAACAGAAAATGGACAAAAATAATGGAGGGAACAACGAACAACAGCTGTTCCATGGAACTGACGCTAGAAATGTATGTGCAATAAACACACAAGGATTTAACAGAAGTTTCAGTGGGGAACATGGTAAGTTACGGCCATGAGAGAAAGCAAAGGGTTTTTACTGGAAGAGTACCATGCAGAGTAATAAGCTTTGGAGGCAGTTATAACATGCCACGTTCCTCGAAAGTGTTAAAATTTCTGTGTCATAGCGAGATTTCAATGTATAAAAATTTCAGCATACATTGCAAAATTTGTTTACGCGCTTTTAAAGTTCCAAAAATCACTCGGTTCCTCGCACTTTCTGGAAACTCCGGTGTTGTAGCTGGAATACAGCGTGACGAGGATCTGGCATTTCACCTCCTCGTCGTTTCTTTTTCTCGGGAATTGTTTATATTTGGACGTAGTGAGCAGCAGATCAGAATGCGTGGTGGATGTTACAGTCGACTCCCGGCAACTCGAACCCTCTATAACTCGAACCTCCCGCTAACTCAAAGCAATTTTCATTTCCCTTCAGATCATTTTCTATATAATTTTACCCTCGATAACTCGAACATTTTTCTATTTTCCTTGAAGGTTCAAATTATCGGGAGTCGACTGTATTTTCGCATTAATTAATACATGCCGCCTAATATCAAGGAGGGGTGCTGGATTTTTCTCATTGTTAGTGAAAGGAAGGTAAAAAATCCGACTAATCTGAGGTAAGAATTGGAAGGTTTAAGAGTGGCTGTCTGTAAGGATCGAGAATCGGCGGTCAGCGACCCATTTGGCAAATCCCTGATATTTTGCCCAAAGTTAGCCTTGGGTAGACTGTTTTCAAAAATCATATTCAAAAGTTCCAACGATTTTGTTTATTTGGGAAATTTGAGAAAAATTAAAAATGCGGTCAAAATGCGGTCAAAGTGCGGTTTTTTGGTTGATCAAAAGGTGCGATTATAAACCTCCGCCGAAGTCTCAAAATGAAATCAGTTGACCTCAAAATAAAAAGGATTTCAAAGCAATCAATCTTCTACACTGCCAATGTTTTAATCTTTTCAAATATGATAATACAATGGTTTTTCAGGCCATTTAGAAAACACCTTCGGAGACCGCTTTCGGTGGTGGCAAAATGTAGCTAATATTCATCAGGATAAAAATGTTCCTGGTATGTCAGTTTTTAACAATTAAGCATTACAGAGCTAAAATATAGGTCTTAAAGATTTACCAAGTAAAGTTTCAAGGTCGAACTCGGAGCGCTTCCCTTCGAAGGAATCGAAAGTCTGAGCAATATCAACGTGCAAAATGGCGCTGGATTTATAACAAACATCCTATGCATCTAACATTATAGTTACAATCACTTGCGTTAAAATATCAAACTACATTTACCTTTGACAGTTTTAAGTTTGCCGCTTATAGAAATATCCAAGAGCTCATAGGAGACACATCCAATGCTTTGAACAGATCAGTTTGATGTAGATAGTCCGCTTTGGTTATCACAAGGTAATGTAAACAAACGTGATAAATCAGTTAAACCAGCCGCCTTTGTGTCAAACTATCCATCCAGGACGTTTTCCTAGATATTTATCGTTCTGCAAGGTTTCTTGAATGAAACAGTAATCGTGTGACTTTAAAAAAAACGAAGGTAGTTTGCTGGAAAGACCGTTGAAATTTTGGAAATAGTTATTACCGGGACAATAATAATAACCGGCAAAGTGCCACACTATCATGACACTTTTGCTATAGGCGGTATTTAATCATACAGGCAGAAACAACGTTGCGGAAAGTCATTTTCCACTACAGGGAGAGTTTGAATCCACGTTAGTTTTCACAATTTCAAACGGTTTTTGTTTTTAGTATCTGAAACACGTGAAGCTATATGTGTCAAGAAATCGAAACAAACGGCATTCTGTCAGAATAAACCGTGTGTTGCTATTCGAGTCCAGTAAATGTAACGCAATCTCAGTTACCCTCTCCCACCCATCCTGCGTGGTCTAGAAACTTAAACAAGTTAATTTTGCTCAAATTAGTATTTTTCTCAAACGAACGTATTTATTTGAATAAGCGCCAAACCTCGAATTAGCGCCCACCTCGAATAAGCGCCCATCCTAAAGGCAGAAAAAGTTAATAAGCGCCCAGCCTCGAACAAGCGCCCACCCCTACCCCACCCCCCTTCCACTCCCACTCAAACTGAAATAGGCGCCCACCCCCTTACACCTACCACCCCCCAAAAAGGAATAAGTACTAACAACAGACTTGCCCGGAGACGGAGTTTTCCTCAGAGTGTTTTGCAGAAACCTTGCTTTGTTACATCTTCGCGTTTTGTTATTACCATTTACTGTTTTGTTGCAAAATATACATGTTACACTTCTTGAAAATGGTGAAAATTTAATAAGCGCCCAGCCTCGAAAAAGCGCCCACTCTCAAGTTACAAAAATTTAACAAGCGCCCAGGGCAGTTATTCGAATAAATACGGTATTATTTTGAGGCTCCGGTAAGAATAATAATATTAAAAAAAACAACAACAATAACAATAACTTCCTACCCGAGGGATAAACGTTTTGACCTGTTGTCAGGATGGGGGTGGGGAAGGAGTACGTTTAGAAGTTAAAAGTTTTCGCAGGGTATTTTTCAAAGTAAGATCTTTGTTTTAGGTCTTGCTAAACGCAGTTATAAAATGAATTTCATCACTACACCCCGGTAGGGGAGCTTTCTTTGATATTGTTTTTTGTTTTTGTTTTGTTTTGTCATTGACTCTCAGACTTGGAGAGGCGGGGGTAGTCCCTTATTTCCTGTCGAGGCGGCTCTGATCGCAATATTCTCATTACGTAAGTGCTTTCGTTCAACCCCAAAACAGTTCCCTTCATTTTCATAGGTACTGCTACAGCTGCGGTCGTTTTAGAATTTTAAACCCTAGGCGATAAGTACGAACCTAAGAGAGAGAACCTGGGAACGAGGTTGTAAAAGTTACGACCAGAACATTGGCAATTTTTTGAGGGAGTACCCTTCTCCCCATTTTCAACCCGTTTTACCAAACTGGTTGTCGCTAAAACACTTCTAGGAAGCTATTAATAAAAGAGTTACTTTCGGCATGTGCACTTTTTGGTTATTTCCTCTAAGAGTGCCAAGTATGGAGCCTTCTTGCGCACAGGCGGGACAGGTGCATCAAGGCAGAGATCCTCGCACAAGCGCTGAAGCATCGGTAGCTTGAGGACTTTCAAGTTATCACTGAGCGCCATCTCACACAGGTTGTACTGATCGTAGACCAGAGGATGGTTGAGCTGAATGGTTTCAACGACCTCCTTCGCTGCACTAAAGTTAGCTTCCTCTTGAGATGCCCGGATATCGGCTTCATCTGCTGGGTCCTTTTGCCGTAGTGTAGCGCTTTGCCTTGAGAAGAAGGACGCAATCTGCAAGCTGGTTAGGAATTCTGAGGACTGGAAAAGTCGCACACCATCTGCTCCACGGGTGCGTCGCATTTCCCTCGCCACAACCTCGGCGTCAAGCTTGCAAGCGCCTTTATCCTCGGCGAAGGGTGGTGCGTTGTGGGAGCCCCGCTGCCGTACTGTAAGCGATGCAGGTTGCCCAAGCTATAGCGATATCTAGTTAAGCCTGGTATAAATCTTGAAATATCATTGAAGCTGGCAACGCTTGACATCATAGACAAGATCTGCCTTCTTGTCTCCCACCCTTGAGCCTTACCATATGCCTCTGCTAAGGCCTGAAGATAATTCTTGGACGTTTGTGATAATTCATCGAGTTTAAAAGATTTGTTCATAGCAGGGGACGAGACAACCGCTTGCCAAAGAGAACCTGCATAATTAGGTGTAAGATCTTGTAGGACTGAAGAAAAGATCTCCACTGTCCTTTTGGTGTATCTCTTCTTAGTGCTCTCTCCAGCTTTATCCCATTCCATCCAGGGCTGAGTTATTGGCGGGATGTTCTTCGAAACCAGATATTCGTTCAACTTTTTGCGAGGTTCTTGCATAGTGGTTGGGGCCTCGTCACTCGTGGAAGAAACAAGACTTCCAGTATCCGGACTGAGGAACGTCTCATCATCCCGCCCTCTTGACGATATCTCCAGCCTCTTCATTTCAGTTGCAAGGTCATCGGACGATAACTCACTACTAGTTGTTTCTGCACTTGAACGGCCTGTTTCCCCCTCTACCTGAAACAGTTCAAAACAAATATATTGTGTAATTACTATAAAGCATGATAAAACGTTTATTTTGTTTTATTTTATTCACAAGCCAACACCCACTCAAACCCGTTAAGAAAGAAAGAAAGAAATGAAAAGAAATCCCCTAAAGTAAAAAAGGATTAAAAAGGAAATGAAAGAATGAATGATGAATTTTTTTTTTGAAAGCAAAACATTTCATACCATCGCTAAAGGAGCCACTTAAACGAACCATTTACACTAGTGTTTCTTATTACTACTTACCAACAAATGGGGCTCGGGTAACTCTTGCAGGTGCGAGACCCCGGGGACGGGCTCCACCCCACCTGAAGCAAACACTAGAGTTTGGTTGGGCATGGCCTGTTTGCTGATATACTCGTTGCATTGTTTACAAATTGCTTTAAGTGGAGAAACAAAAGCAAAACAAAATGAACAGACGAACAGAAATTAATGTCAATATACTGTATAAACAAATACATTTAAAACATACATAGAAAGAAGAGAACTTCCTGCCCGCAAGACCAATAATTTTGAATGAGGACCGCATGGTGTGCTAGGATTACCCGCACCCCCAAGGCAAAAATGACCCCTGCGTAATACAAACAAGGGACACGTGATAATTAATACATCTTAAAAGCGCGTTTCCCTCTCCTTGCACGCTCTCTCCTCTCTTATCACTGTCTCGTGGAAATTTCTTACTGTTTCTTTAATAGAGTGCTAGCAAACTCCTCGCGTTGTGTGCCACCTTATATGTGATTCTTAACCGCAAAAAATTACTATTATCTAACCAATCTTCGCAGAAAAGTCTGCAACTTACGTGATCCAACTGGAATAAGTGTGTTCGTGGTTTTGAAAATAAACGCCGACTTCAAGCTATCCACTCGGTGGCTCCCTTTAGCAGTTGTAGTTTTATGTACTGCTAATTCTTTGGGTACTGTACACATGGTCTTCCCTGTCCTCCAGCGGATGCCGAAATCAGCCCTGTGCCTTGGACAAATGCTCAAGGCATAGTGATGTTCTTCCACTGAGAAAACCCCTAGAAGGAGAATGATGTGTTGAGAATAACCACCCTAGAGTGCATGATGATAAAAAGTAAAACGTATAATAATAATGTAGCTGATAAAAAAAAAACAAAATATTATATTTTACGGTGGTATTTACCTGCTCTGGCTAACAGCAACTTTATTTCAGATCCTAAACCCTCATCTGCGCTGAGGTTTAAGGTCTTTAAGTGGCCAGTTACATCTTTTGTACAGTCTTTGAGCGCAATACATTCCAGCTGACCAGGATAATCTGCGGACTGACCGCAAGGTGTGCCCTGGGAAGGGGTGACCTTACCTAGAAGCGCTTTGTAGCTACAGTGAGCCATTCAAGAAACGACGAGACCGAGTTAAACAAGGATATATGAACAACGCTGTATTTTCAACCTGTTGCGCAATAGCGACGGGTGTGCTCGTGCGCACGGTTGCATGACTTTCTGGTAAATTTCCTGTGCGCCAAGTATGCACGCATTTCGGAGCGCCACAAATGGATCTGAATATGAACTTTAAAGCCTCTGATGTGTTTTTACAGAAAGTTTGCAATGGTGGACACAAAATGGAGAAAAGGATAAGGTAAATGTAAATTTCGTTTTCGGTTTCAGTCGTTTCATGGTGTCAGTGCCAATTTTACAATAGCGCCGAATTAGTGCAGTCTTTGTTTGTTTGGGTTCGGATTACTTTGTTTAACTCCTTTTCACTTCTGTGCAATTCAACGAAAAGTCATGAGTTGATAGTATTAAAAATAATTGGAGCACTGTACTGCTCGCATCCTGAGCGCTTGAGACATCGATACAACGTTACATTTACAGGATACGGCGCTTTTGGAAGATCAAGTAACTGAAGTAAAAATTCCAGGCAGTACTGAGATATGCGGGGTTAGTAATTCTTTTCAACCGATCTTTATTTTGAAACTGTTTAGGTCTGAGAGGCCAAATGTGTTTATTGCGTTTAACCTAATCTAAAACGACTTGTGAATTTCAAACGAAAGAAGATATGGAAAGTGCCCTTCTGATCGAGTAACGGGACGAGAAACCTGTTTTTAATGTTTGTTGACAAGCGCTGATAATATTACAAAGTAAACTGACTTGTCTCTTAGGAAGCGTACTGAGTTAGACCTTGAAACTTTACTTGGTAATATATTTTAGCTCTGCAATGCTTAAACTTAAAATTGTCAAAGGTAAATTTAGTTTGATATATTTTAACGCAAGTGATTGTAACTATAATGTTAGATGCATAGGATGTTTGTTATAAATCCAGCGCCATTTTGCACGTTGATATTGTTCAGACTTCCGATTCCTTCGAAGGGAAGCGTTTCGAGTTCGACCTTGAAACTTTACTTGGTAAATCTTTAAGACCTATATTTTAGCTCTGCAATGCTTAATTGTTAAAAAGTGACATACCAGGAACATTTTTATCCTGATGAATATTAGCTACATTTTGCCGCCCTCGAAAGCGGTCTCCGAAGGTGTTTTCTAAATGGCCTGAAAAACCATTGTACTATCTTATTTGAAAAGATTAAAACATTGGTAGTGTAGAAGATTGATTGCTTTGAAATCCTTTTTCATTTGAGGTCAACTGATTTCATTTTAAGACTTCGGCGGAGGTTTATAATCGCACCTTTTGATCAACCAAAAAACCGCACTTTGACCGCATTTTGACTGCACTTTTAATTTTTCTCAAATTTCACAAATAAACAAAATCGTTGGAACTTTTGAATATGATTTTTGAAAATAGTCTACCCAAGGCTAACTTTGGGCAAAATATCAGGGACTCGCCAAATGGGTCGCTGACCGCCGATTCTCGATCCTTACAGACAGCCACTCTTAATTAGTCTCCCGGCGAAAACACTCGTAAAGAAATTTATATTGCTGCGACTTAGTTATGATAACGTAGCCTGCGATCAAGCTCTCCATTTGGGGGATACCGTGAAAAGTAGACGCGTGAGAGGCACGCGAGAGGAGACGGGTGTTGACACACAAAAGTAAAGAATGTTTAAGGTCTGAGAGAGGTGCTAGATCGCAACATGTTCGTGTCCTCCTTGGTGCTCTTGTATTTTGCGCGGAAAGCCAGACCTTTTCAGTCCTAACAAGAAATGCTCTCAATCGCGTTTGAACCGGCTTAGGCCCCAACCCTGAGTTAATTTTCAGTGGACACGAAGCTTGATTTTGGGCGCAGAGGCGACTGTGGCCATCTTTTTTTTTTGGATACGCGAGGCGATCACAAGCTTTTAATCATTTCTTTCAAACCTCATAACTGTCAGTGAGAAACCACTTTAAGCTGTACTTTCAGAATACTTTAATGGAAAGGCAAATCATACATTTCGCTTGAACATTTTCTAATGATGATACTTGCCTATCTTCTTTTGATACTGCCTTAAACTCAATTTCATTCATTTTCGAACTGGCCGACGGCGCGTCCCATTCAGTTTGATGTAATATATTCTACTCTTGTTTCTAGCTTAAAACTAACTTCTTTTTGAAACTGGCCGACGGCGCGTCCCATACAGTTCCATGTAACATATTCCACTCCTGTTCCAAATTAAAAACTAACTTCTTCTTCGAACTGGCGGACGCCACGTCCCATACAGTTCGATGTTACATATTCTACTCCTGTTCTTGGTTTAAAAATTAACTTCTTTTTCGAACTGGCGGACGGCGCCTCCCATACAGTTCGATGTTACATATTCTGCTCCTGTTCCTAGTTTAAGACTAACTTCTTTTTCGAACTGGTGGGCGGTGCGTCCCATACAGTTCTATGTAACGTATCCTACACCTGTTCTTTGTTTAAAACTAGGTTCTTTTTTGAACTGCCGGACGGCGCGTCCCATCAGTTCGATTTAACATTTTCTACTCCTGTTACTTAAAAACTTTTTTTTTTAGAACTGGCGGACGGCGCGTCTCATACAGATCGATGTAACATAAAATTATTCTACTTATTATGTTTCTTGCACTTCTCTTATCGCCAACTTACCGGTGCATTGGAGTTGACATTCGACACAAAGGTGATGATTTTTTAGGAATTAATGTATCAATACACTCGTGCGATTTTCAGGAAAGAATTAAATAGGTGCTTATTCAAAATCGCAATAGATTCCCTTACATTTTACGTATAAAAAATGATGAAAGTGGTTTGTCCTCTCAACTCATTGCGGAATTTTGATCTTTAATAGTAGCGTGTGTTTGGCGTTTTTTGCATCGGTAACCCTTCGCGGAGTGTTGGGAGATCCTAAAGAGTGCATTGTGTGTGTTCAAACTCAAATACAGTTAACTAATGGTTGAATTAGACGATAACTAATAACAGAACAATTCCCGGGAACAATTGATAGTGAAGAGAGAGAAAAACATATTAACGATTTCTTTTTTATAAAAATATTTAATTTATTGTAGTTTCTAGACCTCCTTAGATTAATATTTTTAACAACAGAGAGACGAGTTTTTTTCGAGGGATATCTTTACTTTGCTTCGCGTATTGAATATGTATCAATTATTCTGCTTACTTTTAGTGGTCTACTACGGTCTATCGTATTAAAGCAAATACGCCTTACGCCGCAGGGCGCAGAGGAGTTATAGGTGACCTTGATTGTTCATTGCAGTTAAATTTTACGGTTGATACAGGGCATCGCACAGTGATCGCCTTTGTTTTTACTCTGAAGAATCGAGCAAACTGTCATTCGATCGTCTTATAAATGCTCCGGAAAACCGCTGAAGGTAATGACTGCGGACGAATGACAGCGACTAGCATATGTTAGTAAAATCCAACTACTGGTCTATTATCAATGCTGCGTTCTGATTATATGTTATAGCCCACTAGTAGCGAAAAGCGGACCTTTTGGCGGCAAAAAAGGATTAAAGTCTAGCTTTAACTAGCTAAAACTTTTTTAATCTCGATATTTTTGCCCAACTAGTTGGATTTTACTAAAACAATTATTCCTCTCGCCCTCCTAGCCTCTAAGTCAATAGCCCATTCGGCCTTCGGCCTCATGGGTTATTGACTCAAGAGCCCGTTCGGGCTCAAGGAATAATTGTTAAATAAACCAGACGTAACTAATCGATGATGAAATCAATGAGTAATCAATAGGTAATCGATGGGTAATCAGTTGATTATAATTAAAAAATTTTAATTTTTTTTATTTTAATTAAATTCTTTTTTTTAATTTTGTATTTGGAATGTAGTTAGTGTCCACAATTCGCTAAAATATATAGCTAAATACTCTTACCCTTAAATCAAGATTTTCTTCTTCTTCTTCTTCTTAATTGATTATATCTGATATTCAATGAGTAGTAGATGAATGATCGATAAGCCACAAAATTTTCAGTTATCGATTAGTCATTGATTAATTATAGATATAATCTCGCGGGTACGCAAACCATACCAAATCGAAAGTAAAGAAACAAATTAAAGACTTCTTTGACATAAAAGTCACGAGACAAGCTTTATTTATTCATGATCTTTTAATTGGTACGCACTCTGCAGACTGGCTGTTTCTCTCAATTAAGACACAGACTCTAATGGTCAAGTGAGGAAGACAGATAACTCGACCTTCTGAAAATCTCGTTTTCGATATTTCAGTTATATTACTGTCCATAAATTTGATTTGCCGTTCTGTTTTCGTCACGGCCATCTATTCATATACATTAGTTTTCTACATGCAAGTTCAATTCCTATTTGGCAATTATTATCGTCAAGAACCTTAACGTAAAATTTTGTCACCGGAATTGTATGAGATGTGTAATTAATGACTAATCGATGGAAAATCATTAGATAATCAATGAGTAATCGAACTCATCAATAACTCATCGATGACATCAATGAGTAATCGATGTCATCGATGAGTAATCGATAGGCTACAAAATTTTTGGCCATCGACAAGTCATCGATTACCCATTGATTATAGCGAATAATCAATGACTAATCAGTTGGTTGCTCAATGATTACTCAGCGATTACTCACGTTGAAGTCATTTATCATCGATTAGTTACGTCTCGAATAAAGAGACAAGTGTCTCTTTCCGAATACGTCGTCGCCCTTCGATGTATTGACATCATTCTTGACATGATAACAGATTATGACACCTCAGTGGTCTCTACGAGAAGCATAACGAGCCGCACCGTCTTAGCAACCAAAAAAATTTTGTTTATCAAGCTGAGATAGGGGACTAAAAGTCCCCTATCTCAGCTGGATACTCAGAAGCTTGTAACATTCACTATTCCATTTATCTCTGATCATATCTCCCATCTAATACGATAGAGGCGTCAATTTTCGCGCCATCATGTCATCATTCTAGGACGAGAAATTTAATTAAAGCGCGGCATTCAACAAATGTACGGCT